TATGCTTACCACTGCTCCTGAAACTGAATTCAAATGCAGCAAATGGGGCAGCCTTTGGTCCAGGCGTTTAGTTGTGGGCTGGGATGCCCACATCCCCATAACAGAATGCCTGGTTTAAGTACTGGCTACTCTGCTTCTGATCCACTTTCCTGCTAATGGCTCAAGTGCTTGGTTACCTGCATTCACTTGGGAGACCTAGATGGAGTTCCAGGCTCCTGATTTCAGCCTGGCTCAGCCCCGGCTGTTGCGGCCATTTGGAGAGTGAACCAGTGGATAGAGGTTCTCTCTCTCTCTTTTTCTCTCTGCCTTTTAAGTAAAATGAAAATAAATCTTTTCAAATTTTAATGCAGTAAATGGGGTTTCAGAGATGCTTTAATGACAGTGAAACAACTGTGTGTTGGGGGAGAATGGTGCGTGTCAGAGTGCTATGAGCTTCAATTTTCCATCCTAGAGCGTTACTGTCCAAGAGATCTTTGGGCAATGATGAAAGTGTCCTAAGTCTGCATTAGCCACATAGGACTACTGAGCAATCACAATGTGGACAGTGTAACTGAGAAACTGAATCGTTCATTTTAACGTAAGCAGCACATTGGCCATGCAAACAACGGTTACTGTCATTGGACAGCACACTTCCAGAGGGGGATATTACCTTGTGAAACTAATGCATCAGCATCTTACCTTAAAATTTTAATTTACAAAGTGCTGCAAAATATTTTTGCTTACTGGTTACAAAATCTCCAAAACTATTTTTTGTAAAATGCAAAGCTACTTTTTATCATTGCTCAACACTGTAAAGGTATAAGATACAAACATATTTCAATGCTTCTTACCAGAAGAACATCTTTTTTGCTAAACAAAGAATTATGAATGGATATTTTTTATAACTTTCTAAACCTTACCAGTACACAACACTCTTTAAACCTTAATGTTAAAAACTGAGAAAGGAAAAGAGAATCTGCTTCAACAGAGAAACACAGCAGTTAATTTCCATACAACATCAGATTAAGGCAAGCTCAAATCTAAGATAATCTTTCCCTTGTAATGAGGAAATTAAAAAAAATTTTGGGGGGTCATCCTAAGGATGAAAGTAAAATATCTAGTTATAACATTTAACACATTTGCATATTCAAAAATATATAACGTGATACATTAGAAACAATTCCACTCCATTACTCACACACATCTTAAACAACAGGGACTGTGGATCAGTTAGCTAGGAACCATAAAACTCCACTTTCCTCCCTCTCTGCCAGGTTGGTTTCAACAGAGCACTTCTTGAATCCACACAGGATGCTCCTGCTGGAAATCTCATCTCTAACGAGCAGCACCTACACAGGTGGGTAGAACTTTTTTCATTTATCACTTACTGTATTGATTTTTTTTTCTGTGATTTGCAAATGTTGTTCCCAAGGCATCTAAGACTTGGCAGTTTGTGAGATACACCCCCTGGGGAATAATTACTGACTCTGGCTTTGTATAACTCTTTCTGTAAGACTGACTGACTAAATGTCCCAAACTAGCACCAGCCGAGGTAGTTTCAGCCCAGTCTGTTCTTCCTACACACCACCTGGTTGTTCAAATCAGAGCAGCCGAGTGCCCTGTAACGTGGAGTCCTCAACACGAGGCAACGTCCTCTTTTCAGAGGGAGACTTCTGGGGCAAACTCCGCCTTACGAGCAGGCATATACAACACACACTTTGAACAGACCTTTGAAGAAGGCTGCCTGGAATCATCTAAGGGCTCTTCTTGCCTTCTCTAAGTTCTCCCTAAACTTCCAGATTTGGATAAAAAGCCAGTCCCTGCCAAACTGTCACTTCCCTTTTGGAGTCACAGGCGGTTAAGGCAGGTAGTGGGGCTTCCCCTGCTTTCAACCCAGTACCATAGGACTGTGGCCCACTCGTTCCCAAAAGCTAATCTAATGCCATCCACCCTCAGCTTTAAAACTTTCTATTGGGGCTGCCATGGTGGCACAGTGGTAAAGCCAACCCCCTGTGATGCTGGCGTCCCATATGGGCCCCGGTTCCTGTCCTGACTGCTCTACTTCCAACCCAGCTCCATGATGAAGGCCTGGGAAAAGCAGCAGAAGATGGCCTAAGTGTCTGGGCCCCTGCCACCCACGTGGGAGAGAGACCTAGAAGAAGTTCTTGGCTTCCACCTGACCATTGAGGCCATCTGGGAAGTGAACCAGAGGAAGGAACATCTCTCTCTACCTCTCTCCTTCTCTCTGCAACTCTTTCAAATAAAATAAATAAATATTTGAACAAGGCCCGTCCATTTGGTGGAGACACCCAAACACTGGCTTCCAACCTGGTTTGGCTAAAACCTACTCTGGCTTCTCAGCCATCTCTTCTCCCAAAGCCTCCTTAATCACTGGGCCTTCACCCACCAAGCCCAGGAGCAAACCCTATCAGTGTTCGCCACACTAAGGTCTGTTTCCTAACTGCCACTGCTGATACCTAACACTTAGCGCAAATACACCACTAGTAAGACGCTGTTTTAAGTGCTTCACACAGATTATGCTCTTGAGCTCCCGACGACTCTCTGAAGTAGGTAACATTCTTCCAGCGGGAAAGCCGAGGCCCAGAGAAGTCAGGAAACTTCCCAAAGCTATGTAGGTGGCAAAATGGAAACTCAAGCTATCTGGGCCCAGGGTCCGAGCTCTGGCCCTTTATAGTACCCTGCCGCTTCATGGATTCTACAGCTGACAGGTGGCTTCAGGGGAATGCAGATCAGATGCTTGCTGGGAGAAGGATCAGAACAGTTACTACCCGAGAAAGCGACCGTCACACGGTAGCGAGGCTGCAAGCCAGACTTCTGGTGCTGTCCGCAGAATAATGCTCGCTTAACAGATGATCCCTAGAGTCCCCTGCCAGCTAAAACAAATGAGCAAAAGCAAAATCCCTCCGTTCCCCCAGACACATCTGTCATAGGTGCTAACATAATTTGCAAAAACAAACAAAAATGACTAGCCAGTTAAGTGAGGCCTGTACCGAATTTTACAGTGATAGAAACATAAACCTCACATTTAGAGACAGGAAAAACAAAACTATTAAGATACTCTAATTTCTTGTTGATGACAAAGTAAAACGGCCAGGGCAAGCCCACCTCTTGGTTTTCTAGTTTAACACTTACTTTCAAGACAGGAACGGTTTTCAATGCATAAAGCCAAAGCTAATATACATTACATTTAAGGCCTAGAAGGATACTATTCCACAAAGACGGAAATTACAATAGCTAGTACTTACAGAGTGCTTTATTTCTCAGCCATTTTCATAGACAAGATTCTTGTTTCTGGGTACCTTTAAAAAGGTGCACCGTTATGAAGCATCATCCCATTTTACAGGTGAGGAAATGGAGGCTCAGAAACTACACACATAGCTACACAGTTTCAAATAGGTCGTCGGCAAGCTCCAAAAACTCTATCAAGCTTCTCCCGTAAGTACAAACTCTGCTCATTAGCCCCGCTTTCAGCTAGGGCCGTGACCAACGCTGGGGAATGGCCCCCACGCCCTACTCCCCCAACCTCAGGTGTATCGGAACGCCTGTACCTCCCAAACAGGAGACAAACTCCGCCCTCACAGCGCCTCACCTCAGGGCACGCAACCGCTGAGAGCGGGAGTTACCAGTCCGAGATTCCCATCTGCAAGGTCAGAGTTGAGAGGATTTAAGACGAACGCCGCGCAGGATTGGCAGCCTCACCTTTTGATCCCAGAACCCTCCGGCCTGCGGGATCCGCATTGTAACTATAACGACTTTCACAACCGATGCGCGACCTGCAAAAAGCAGTGCCCGCACTCCACTTCGGCCGAGTCTAAAATGACACCGCCGTTCCTAACCATCCACTCGCTTCGGACCAACGCCTAGCTAGCCTGCCGAATGCATTCCCAAGAGCCGGGGGGCTTCCCGAGGTGGGAAAACCAGTAACATGCCCGACGCGCACCAACCCCACGCCGCTGTCACGAGGTACGGAGCCTAAAAAGCCACCTTGCAGGCGGGCATCAGCCGGGCTCCGGCTCCCGCGCGTCACTCACAGAGGTCGGCTCCGTACCCACCCACGCACGCTCACCATGTGCGAAGTTTCCTCTCGACTTCGCCCAGAGACGCCGGTTGCCTTTCCCCTTCAGTGGGGAAGAGACACCCCGAACTGCGCTCCCCGCCCGGCTGCCGCGCGCTCAGGACCCCTTCCCCCAGGGCACCCGCCCCCCGCCCCATCTCCTCCCCGACTCTGCAGCCGAACGCCAGGACCCACCCAGAGCAGAAACGCGCAGCCCCTCCAGGTGCGGCTGCCGACTGCAGGCCACGCCGCCGGCGCCGCCTGGGACTCGGGAGGCCGAGGGTGGAGGCGCGGCCGCCGCGCCCGCGCAGAGCCGCCGCCGCCGCCCCGCCCCGCCCCCACCCGCGCCCCACCCCCACTGCCCGCCGGCGGGAGCCGCGCCGCGCCCCGCAGGGCCCCTTCGCCCCCGCCCGCCCGCGCGCGCGCGCGCGCGGCTCGCGATCCCCTCATCGGCCCTCCCCACTCGTGCACCCTGCACTCACTGAACATCCCAGGCGGCTCCGGCTCCCCCCGCCGCCGCCGCCACCGCCGCCGCCTGTGGGATCGGGTTGCTTCCGCCTCCGTCTCTCTGCCGCAGGGTCTCGCTCCGACGGCTGTCGGCTCAGCCGGGCCCTCGCGCCCCGCGCCCCGCCGCCCCCGCGGCGGCGGCTCTGAGCAGCCGCTCCATGACTGACTGACACGGAGCGGGCCGCGGGCTGGGCCGCTCGGGCCTCCGACGCGCAACCGTCTCCGCCAATGGGCGAGGCGCCTCGGCGCTCGGCTGGCGATGCCTGGCGTGCGTGCCGCCCCGCCCAGCCGCGCCGACGGCGTCGGGCGGAAGGAGTGTGGAGGCCGAGCCCACGTGGTGGGGTTGTGGGAGCCGGAGCCGGCCCCCGCTGCTGCCACTGCCTGGGGTGGGCCTCAAGGTGAGCTGTTTACCTGGGGACCACCCTCCGCCCCCCGCCCCGTCCTCCTCCCCTCTTAAGCTCGGTCAGTAGGCTAGACCCCCAACCCGAGCCGGGTCCCGACTTGAGCCTGCCACTCAGAGCCGGGTCCTGAGGCGCAGACCCCTGCTTGGACCCAGTCCAGAGGGAATCCGCTGCCCGGTCCAGTCCCACGGTAAAGTCCCCCGCCCGGGCGCGTCTCGAGGTGGGTCCCCCGCCACCAAGGGGCTCTGGGCGAGAGCTGACTGGGGGCGCACCTGGCTCCCGTTTGCTCTCTCCCGATTCTCTCTACTTGGTCTCTAAGTGCTCGGCAGGATGCTCTGGGTGGCCTCAGCATGAGTGCCAGCAGGGCTGTGCTGCCCGCCCCGGACGGTCTCTGCATCGGCGGGTGGAGGGCCGGAGGCGGCTGGTAGGATCTAAGAGGGTCTTGGGCGCCGTCGTAGCCCGTTCTGCAGACACTGATTAGGCACTTCGTAGCCACTTCGATGGCGGGCTGTCGGACTGAATGTAAAAGTATTTTTTTTTTAAGTTATTTATTCTAAAGGCGGAGAGAGAGAGAGAGATAGGTCTTCCATCTGCTGGTTCACTCCCCAGTGCCTGCAACTGCTGGGGCTGGGCCAAGCCAGGAGCCAGGAATTCTATCCGGGTTTAAGTGAGTTCTGAGGTCTTTAGGATTTAGGTAAAGTGCAAATGATACAGCTCTCAGTACAGCAAATTTCTTTGATTTGACAGCCTGTAACCTAGAATCCTGGGACTGTAATATCTTTTAAACATTTACTTTGTTTTATCCGTGCTACTTTTATTTCAAGAACATTTGTCTCTTGGGGAACTGACTTGTTAGCTTTTATAATGAAAACGACTCAACTTGATACGTTTCCTCTTTACTATGATTTTTAGGAAACTCCAAATTATGTTTACCTCAGTTTTATAGTAACTATTGGTGTGTTTGATTTCTTCGATTATAAATGATTTTTAGTTTTTTAATTGTGTAGTATCTTTTCTCTAGTCTTTTTGAAAGCACTGGGTGTGTGTTTGTAAATTCATTCATGAACAAAGTTGTAGTGGGAAGTTGCTGTTGGAGATGAAATTTGGGGATTGGGATAATACACTATTTCTCATATTGCTTATTTTTATGTATATTTTAGAAAATAGGGACAGAGACTTTTGATTGCATACAATGTGTGAGTGATTGTACAAGTAATCTGAGCACTGATTTTGACCTCATTGAAGTCCTGCGCATGCACCTCCATGGATGTGATGTTTGATCAGAGCAGGATTACTTGTAATCCATCTTTTGTGTGTGTGTCCATCTTCTGCCTGCTTTTGTCTGAATTTCCCTCAGAAAATTCATGGGATCAAGCATCTTATGCATAGACCTCTCTTGACAGTTTTGTGGATGTGTTTTAGTTCACTAAAATGTATAGTAAAAAATGCATAAACTATAAGATAATACTAAAGTTATAATAATGTAATGCAGTTCTTTTTCTAGTGCCGTTCAGTTTGACCTTATATTATTTCCATTGCTTTTAATTATAGATAGAGTGTTGCAATGGCTGCTGTGTATTCTGGCATTTCCCTTAAGCTGAAGAGCAAGACAACTTCGTGGGAAGATAAACTAAAACTAGCTCACTTTGCTTGGATTTCCCACCAGTGCTTTCTTCCAAATAAAGAACAAGTAAGTTAAATGTGAAATTTGTATTTTTACGATCTAAAATAATTATCACCTGTATTAATTGCTTATTGATAGTTTAAAAAAAAGATTGAGGAGGAAACTTTGTTAGAAATTAAAACTAACACCAGTGACAAAAGTCTAGAGTCAGTTATATCATCAATTAAGTTTTTGTGTCAAAAACCTTTTTAGCGTGTCTTTTGTTTGGAACCAAGTTGAATTACGTGTAAGCCTTAGTGAATTAAGTTCTGGCGGTGCTTTGTGAGAAGTCTTCAGAATTTGGTAAACTGAAGGTTGAGAAGAAGAGACGTGTGTTTGTGTTAAGCCGTTCTAGAAATAGGCTAGGTATCAAGAAGGACAGTGCACTTTGTTGATGTTTCTGAGGCTCATCTGGCTAAAAGTACTGACTAGGTAAACACTAGGATGACAAGCTCACAGACTCGCAGCGTACATCCTGATGCTGGTATTTAAGAAGGCAGTTCAGAATGTGTCCCAGGTAAGAGACACAATGTAGTGTATAGAGCAACTCTCCTGTCTAGTAATGTCTACACTTGGCCGCACAGGAGCATCACCCTGGCATCTTGCTGGTCCCCTGGCAAGTGCCATGCAGGCTGAGGCAGAGGAGGCCTGGCAGGCAATTTGAGCAGTGTCTGCTGTCCTTGTCCTGAGAGATGTTTTCCTTTTTAACAATTATACATACATACTGGCAGTTCTCGCATCATGAGCTGAGGCCTTAATACCTTTCCTCAATGTTTTGTGAAGGAGCCAGCATGTCACAAACATGAGAACTCTGTATATGTACAGCCCTCCTTTACATATAGCACTTTTATGTTATTGTACATCAGCTGTCTGTCTCCCAGGAGAGGTACACAGGGTTAGAGATTAAGTTTCGGGTAACATGGAAAAGCCAGGACACGAATTCCTACATTCTGACTCATACTTGCTTTTTTGATGTGTGTAATTCATTCTGTGATCATTCTGAGAGTTTGTTATGCTTCTGACTGTTTTTTAAGGACTTTTATTTATTTATTTGAAAGAGTTACTGAGGGATAGGGAGATAGAGAGGTGGGAGATGGGGTGGGAAGGGATCTTTCATTCACTGGTTCACTCCCCAGATCGCCACAACAGCAATGCTGGCCAAGGCTGAAGCCAGAAGGCAAGAGGTTCATCCAGGTCTCTCACATGGGTGGCAGGGGCCACCCTCTGCTGCTTTTCCCAGGCTATTAGGGAGCTAGATCAAAAGTGGAACAGCTGGGACATGAACCAGTGCCCGTATGGGATGCTGGCGTTGCAGGCATCCGCTATACTTGCTATTCCACAGTGCCAACCCCATGCTTTTGACTTGAAAAATGTGCTGTAACTTCAGAAAAGAGAATAAGACATGTTAATCTCACCTGAGACTTTTTGGTGGCCTCAGATGAAGATGAAATTAGTTGTTTTCCCCCTTTTATTCCTTAATAATAAACATTGTAAGTTACCAAAACATATAGATAATGTTACTGAGGCAAGTTTTAAGGAATTTTTTTTCCTGGAGGTTGGATTTGGTTGTGGCTAGAATGTCCCAGTAATGATCACCACTTTCTCTGCTGTGAAAAAAGTTGGTTTGCAGACTATGTTTTCTCCAAATTCAGGTGTTACTTGATTGGGCAAGACAGTCATTGGTTGCATTCTATAAGAAGAAACTTGAATTGAAGGAAGATGTTGTTGAGAGGCTTTGGATCTATATAGACAACATTCTACATAGCAGAAAATTGCAGAATCTCCTGAAGAATGGCAAGACAATTAACCTTCAAATTTCCCTGATCAAGGTAATAGCTCCTTCCTTTGTCCTCTCTGTATTACATGCACCTCTGTTGATTCACTCTTAGTGCTGAGGCTTGTTTATATTAGGGTCAGTTATCTGGAGGTAAGGAACTAGCAAGGTAGAGAGAGGAGAAGGAAATAATATTAGAATTGTAAGAATAATTGTGTATTGTATGTTCTAAACTGTGCTAAGCACTTTGTGATTTAATATCAAGAAAATCTTAGAACTTCTATAACAGATTTTTGATTGCCTTTAAAAATTTTTTTTAGATTTATTTGAGAGGCAGAAAGTGTGTATGTATATGTGTTCCCATCCACTTGGTTCACTCCTTGAATGTCTGCAACAGTTAGGGCTGGGCTGGGTTAAAGTTGGGAGCTGAGAACTCAATCTAGTTCTTCCGTGTGGGTGGCAGGAACCCAGTTCCTTGAGCCATCACAGCTGCTTCCAGGGGTCCACACTGACAGGAAACTGGAATTAGGCTGGAGCTGGGTATTGAACCTAGGCACTCTGCTATGGGATGGAAGCTAACTACTAGGCCAAACAATGCCTGCCACTTAATTACCTTTTTAGTTGGAAAAGCTAGCCAGTAAATTACGCTACTCTGTTTTTTTTTCCCCCTTTCACCTTTGTGTTGTCCTGGAGGGAGATCAAAGGTCAAAATCTGGATAGAAATTTTCTCAAATGTTTTTGACTAAAAGTGATTTTGAAGTCTCAGTTCAGAACTATGAACCTCATTGTAAAAACTGATCATTTTGAAATTCCATGACAATAACTAGTTACAATGAAAATCACCACGAATGAGCATTTGGTGATGTCAAGTAACTTGCCTTAAGTTATATGTTATAAGTGGCAGAGCTGGGATTTGAACATAGATCTGCCTGATTACAGAGGTTGTGCAGTTAAATTGCCGTGCCTCATCCACATGAGTGTACAGACAGGAAAAAAAAGAAGCAACCAGTAGAGGCTTGTAACAGAGAAGAAGGAAATGGTTCATAGGCTTTTCATGGTTCTTGAAATCATGTTCTAAGTTGTGACGCTTTTTAAAATAGACCAGTGGTCACCAAAATGAATTACTCTGAATGATCCTTTGGGATATGGGAAGAAAATCTATTTTTATGGTTTGCAATAACCATATTTAATTGATTTTATGCACATTTTATAATTATATAGTTTTGGTACTGTGGTGTATATATATGATGTAAATTATAAATAAATTACACTTACTGGGTGTAAATGTGGAAAAAGTTTACGTATAGCCAAAAATTTAGAGGTCAATAGTGATACATTGACATTTAAGGTCTTGGCTTTTTTTCTTCTTCTTCTTAAGATTTGTTTTATTTATTTGAAAGGCAGAGTAACAGAGAGAGATCTGTCTGCTGGTTCACTTGCCAAGTGGGCCAGGCTGAACCCAGGAGCCTAGAACTCCATCCAGGTCTCCTAAATAGTAGCAGGGGTCCAGCCATCTTCTGCTGCGTTCCTAGGAGCATTAGCAGCTGGGACTCAAACTAGTGCTCCAGTATGGGATGCTGGTGTCACAGGCCATAGCTTAAAGATTTATTTTATTCATTTGAAAGGCAGAGTTATAGAGAGAGGGAGTGACAGAGAGATCCTCCATTTGCTGGTCCACTCCCCAAATGGCCACAACAGCCAGGATGGGCCAGGCTGAAGCCAGAATCCAGGAGCTTCCTCCTGGTCTCCCTCCTGGGTGCAGGGGCCCAGGCTCCTGGATCATCCTCTACTGCTTTCCCATGCACATTGGATTGGAGCTGGATTAGAAGTGGGGCAGCTAGGACCCACCAGCACCCAAATGGGATGCTGGTGCCTTTATCTGCAATGCTAGAGTGATTTCTAAGAGTAATTTTTAAAGGTCCAGAGTGATTTCTAAAGGCCTGTAGCCAGCAGTTACTTGAATGTAGATAATGCTTATGTCACTGGGCTACTGGTAACTTAGCACCCAGGGTACACTTGATTTCTCACATGCCATAAGTACAAGTCACTTGACATATGAGTGAATTTGGGAATCTGCCTGGTCCTCATGATTTCTGGTATTTATGAATTTAGGAAGTTTAAGAGAGGTGGACAATGGATCAGCTGTGTGTAGTAAATGGTAACTGACAATATTTACTTTCCTTTTTTTTAAGATTTATTTATTTATTGTTTATTTGAGAGGCAGTTACAGACAAAGAGGAGAGACAGAGAGAAGGGTCTTCCACTGGTCCACCCCACAAATGCTTCAGTGGCTGGAGCTGGGCTGATCTGAAGCCAGAAGTCAGGAGCTTCCTCCAGGTCTCCTACATTGGTACAGGGGCCCAAGTACCTGAGCCATCCTCCGCTGCCTTCCCAGGCCACAAACAGAGAGCAACATCAGAAGTGGAGCAGCCAGGACACAAACCAGCATCCACATGGGGTGCCGGTGCCACAAGCAGAGGCTTTGCCTGCTATGCCACAGAGCTGGCCCCTTGCCTTTCTTTCTTAAGGGTACCTTTTTCTTTGCCTTTTCTAATAGGCAACGCGTAACTGGGTGTAAAGATGTATTTTGCACCCTGGATCACAGCCCAAATGCCACTGTCTATGTACATGCAAACATCTAAGCCGAATTGCAGGGTTAGGGTATAAGAAGTGATCACTGACACCTTAGGCTCGCACAACTCAGCTTTGCAAAAAGGAACAGTAAATTTACAAAGGCACTGCTCTTCCAGATTAAGATTAGGAGGAGGTAGGTGTGTGTAGGAATTAAAACAGGCACTTTACTCCCTTTTGGCATACAAAGCAAATATCAGGTTCGTTAAGAACTGGGGATTTCTTTCTCAAAGATGAGTTTGTTGGTACCTTTTGGTATATGTGTGGGTTTATGGTCAGTAATAAGTTTTCTTTCTTAATGTTCAGGTCATCAATGAGAGGATAGCTGAGTTCTCTGACTGGGAATCCCAGAGGAACATCTGTGCTGTCCTGCGCTGTTGCCAGGGCATCCTCTCCACACCTGCCCTTGCTGTCATCTACACAGCCAGACAGGAGCTGATGGTGGCCTTGCTGAACCAGCTTTGCCGGTCTGCCTGTAGGCAGCCCGAGGGAGCTGTGGTAGCCCAGTTGTTCGAGGTCATTCACCTGGCCCTTGGCCATTACCTCTTAATCCAGCAACAGCAGGTCAACCCACGACGTGCCTTTGGCGATGTGACTGGGCACCTGCTACAGCCCTACCTGGTCCTGAGGCACTTACTCTCCGAGGGCACGTGGACACAGGCTGGCCAGGGCCAGCTGCGGCAGGCTCTGAGCCGGGACATCAGGAATCAGATTGAGGCCATGCTTCGAGGTGGAGTTTTTCAACCTGAGCTGCTCTCATCCTACAAAGGGGAGCTCTTGGACCACCAGGAAGGTGACACAAAGATGGGGGCTCTAAAGAGTCTTCTTGCTCCCATGGACACTGTGATTACCAGACTAGTAGAGGCTGGTTACTGTGAACCAAGCCTTCATGCCACGGTTGTGGCCAACTCTGTGGCCCTGCTGTATAAGCTCTTCCTGGATTCCTACTTCAAGGAGGGAAACCAACTTCTCTGCTTTCAGGTTCTCCCCAGGCTGTTTGGCTGCTTGAGAATTTCACACCTGCAGGAGGAGCAGGTAACAGCTCTGTCTGCATCAGATTGGACCACAGAACTTTTGGTTCTGGAACAACTGCTAAACTCAGTGGCCAACAACAATATCTACAACATTGCTGCTGACAGGATCCGGCACGGAGAGGTTCAGTTCTGCTTTTACCGCCGTTTGGCTGAGCTACTGATAAACCATTCACAAGCACCTGTGCCGGCCTGGTTCCGCTGTCTCAAGATTCTGATATCTCTGAATCATTTGATTTTGGAGCCAGACCTGGATGACCTATTGGCATCAGCTTGGATCGATGCAGAAGTAACAGAGTTTCGAACCAGAAAAGCACAGGAGGCACTTATCCACACACTCTTCCAGACATATGCCAAACTGCGACAGGTGCCACTGTTGTTTGAAGAGGTTTTGGGGGTAATCTGTCGTCCAGCTGCTGAGGCACTACGGCAGCCCGTGCTGACCTTGGGCCCCGCCACAGTGCTCCGTGAGTGCCTGCTGGAACTGTCTCCAAGTCAGATCCTGGACACTTGGTCCCTTCTGCTGGAGAAGTTCCAGTCATTAGTCTTGCCCTCTTTGCGGAGTGATGCCGACATGGCCCTGAAGTCACTGTCCCTGAGCTCGCTGCTGCACTGCATCATGTTCAACATGAGGAGTCTGGACAGCAGCACACCCCTGCCTGTCATCAGACGGACACAGTGTACGATGGAGAGGATGCTGGGAGAGCTTGTGAAGCCCCTGCTGACCCTTCTCCTGGACCCCCCAGACCCAGAGCCAGAGCTGTGGCTGCAGAAGGTCAGTGACTCTGCACTCCTGCTCTCATACACCTGGGTTCAGGTGGATACCATGCTCAATTTGAATTGTAGCCAGTATCACTCTGTGTCTGGGGCCCCAACAGGGGTTGCTTTGGAGATCTCGAGCCTCCCTCCATTGCTCCCTGGTGTAGAAACACAGCTATGGAAAGAGATAGAGAAGCTGACAGCTCAATTCAACTCTCTTGGGAGGTACTGCTTGGAACAGCTCTACCTTCAGAGAATGAAAAGGACTTTATTGCTAACCAGTTTCAAGTCTCAAGAAGCCCTCCAAACTTTGAGGTCTGATGCTGCCTACATTGTTGATTCTGGCAGAGAAAGCTTGGATCAAATGACAGTGGCTTCCTGGGATGGCCAGGTAGAGACAGTGAATGCACTCACATACCCTGTGGCACACTGGCACTTGATGGTGTCAAATCTCACGATTTTAACGTCTTACCTTTCTCCAGATGATGTGCACCACCTGGCAAGCGTCCTGTTAAGGACGTTGCCCATGAGCAAAGCCCAGGAAGCCTCAGCAGATGAAGAGCCATATATCACACTTGGGAAAATATCCAAGGGTGTCCTTCATAGCCCTCTCTTTCCAGAAATGCAGTCCCTTCATTCTGCTTTCTTACTCTGCCTGATTGAGAGATGTTCGAGCATTCTGTGTTCTGGTGTCCAGGGTGACCCGACTCTTCTTAGTCAGCAGCTACCTTGGCTTTTCGAAAAGGACCACATGGTTGTGGCTCACTGGGAGAAGAGATTTGCGAAAGTTGAAACTGAAAATATAGAATGCAGAGGAGAAGTTGCCCAGAACTTACTCTCGTTGGTCAAGAGCGACTTCCCCATCAGGCTGGAGGGAGAGCAGTTAGAAAGCCTCCTGGGACCATTGGAAGTCCTTTCCACTCTACACCTGGACAGTGTCTTGCCACCCTACCACGTGTCTTATTTCCTCCTGTTACTGTTGATGGCCGTCGCCAAAGTCGAGCGCACTTGCTCCTCACTGGCTCTCAAGTTCTGGATGACTTGCTACCAGCTTCTTGGTTACCTGCAGAGGGGAAGAAGTGCCCGCTCAGTGCTCAAGGTTGTATACGTTAGTGACATTTTTGAGATCACGCTGACCTCATTGTTGAAAGCCAGCAGTACACTCCTTATTGAGATGGATGACCCCTCATGGCTGGAATTCCTTCAGGTGATAGGAACATTCTTGGAGCAGCTCCTGCAAATGCTCATTCAGATAAAGCTAAGCCTGGTGCTCAATTTTGGAAAAATTACTGCATTCCTCTCAAGGTGTAAACCACACACAGAGGCAGCTTCCAGCAGAGAGTTGGAAAATCAAAACCCTCTGGGCAGGCAGCTGCTTCTGGTGTCTTTAAGCAAGGTGTGCCAAGTCCTGGGGGCTTTCGTCAAAGAGCGCAGCAGGCAGCCCCAGGAGGCCTCAGCAGCACTGCCCGAGCTGCTGCAGCAGACCACGCTTCAGATGGGCACTGTGCTCCAGCTCTGCTCAGCACCAGGACCAGGGGGTTGGCATCTGCCCTCAGCCCTCCTCCCGGCTGTCAGCACGCTCCTGGAAGCAGACCTGAGCCAGCACCGCAGCAATGAAGGGGCCGAGATTACCCAAGAGACGGGTGGAACGGTGTTCTTCCACACTGCCCTCTACCAGGATGTTTACTCTCAGATACTGCTGGAGCTGCCAGTCCTCACAGGAAATGTTCAGTCTTTCCAGGCAGCCTTGCAGTTTCTAACTCTGTTCTTTTCAGCCCCAGAAATCCATCCCCAAAAGGATTCTGTTTTTATCTCTCTGTTTCATTCTATGAGAAAAGTTCTTGCAGGTAAGATATTTTCTCTTGAGTTACTTCTGTGCTAAAGAGGTTTATGTAAAAAGGAGCTCAGGATGGCATGCCGGGTGGTTGCCTGGTCCTCTTTGGAACAGGGGAGATGTGAAAACGTGTGTGTTCACAGAGTACACAGGGATAAAGAGATCTCCCTCCCTCCCTGCCATGTTCACATTCTAGGCATGTGTAAGCAGTTACCCTTAAAACCATGTCCCCATGTTTTAGGCATTGGCAGCCTTTGAGGCATATTGGTCAATACCTCGGGTACTCACTTATTTGGGACATTGTTCCATATGAAGTTTATAGCTTTGTTTTTTCTCTTTTTAAAATTTTTATTTACTTGAGAAACAGCACCATTCACTGGTTCACTCTCCAAATGCCCACAATGACTGGGACCAGAGCCAGGAACCAGCAACTCAATCCAGTTCTCCTTGCTGCCTGCCAGAGTCTGCATTGGCAGGAAGCTGGAGTCAGGAGCTGGAGTTGGGTTTTGAACCCAGGGTCTCCAGCATGGGCTATGAGCATCTAACTCATTGGGCTAAAAGCCCACTCCTCTAAGTTTATTGTTTTGAAACTGACTCCTTTTCTGTTTCTGTTTAGCCTTTAACTTGTTCTGATCTCAGAATTCCCATAGCTAATTTCATCCTTTTTTTTTTTTTTTTTTTTAATTTTTGACAGGCAGAGTGGACAGTGAGAGAGAGAGAGACAGAGAGAAAGGTCTTCCTTTTGCCGTTGGTTCACCCTCCAATGGCCGCCGCGGCCGGCGCGCTGCGGCTGGCGCACCGCGCTGATCCGATGGCAGGAGCCAGGAGCCAGGTGCTTTTCCTGGTCTCCCATGGGGTGCAGGGCCCAAGCACCTGGGCCATCCTCCACTGCACTCCCTGGCCACAGCAGAGGGCTGGCCTGGAAGAGGGGCAACCGGGACAGAATCCGGCGCCCCGACCAGGACTAGAACCCGGTGTGCCGGCGCCGCTAGGCGGAGGATTAGCCTAGTGAGCCGCGGCGCCGGCCTAATTTCATCCTTATTAAAAGGCTCTTTACTGGATTTTTAGTGACATAGATTTAATTTAAAAAGATGTAAAATCTGCTATCTGTTAAAAATAAATGTGAATGACTTAATTTCTGGGGAGACAAAGCTAATTGTTAGAGCGCAGAACCCTGCCTTCCTTCGTCCTGCTCTCCCAGGTGTGTAATATCCAGCTGTGGACAGTGCAGTGGCTGCTCACAGATGTCACCACTCTTCCAAGCCAGCTAACTGGGACCTGAGACATAGCCTAGTGGGGAGAGAGGTGATGTCTTCATGCCCAGAGAGTTGACTTCTGCAGGGTTAGTGTGATTACCATGCAGCCATGAAAACGATGACTGTGAAATACTTCTAAAATGTCTAAAAAATATGAAATGTTAAGCAGAACAATCCCCAATATAAAATGTTAAGTATGCCATGGTTACAGCTGCATAAAATAAACATGTTTGTAGGTAAGGGCAAGAAACACTGCAAAACTTAAAATAAATGTTGTCACTGTTATATCTCAGCCAGCATCTCAACCCTTAGGCCACCTCTTACTCCCTGCCGTCCACATGGGAGACCTGGGTTGGGTTCCCAGCTTCTGGCTACTGCAAGCATTTAGAAAGTGAACATGTGAATAGGAGTTCTCTCTCTGTCTAGTGAATAATATATTTTTTAAAAAGGTTATGTTAAAAATGCCCATCTATCAGAGATGAGTGAGATGTTGATTTTTTTTTAAACTAGTTAAGTAGCAGATATCCACATAGATCCTTGGGTGAAGGATGGGAGCCAACTAGAATTGTGGGCCTGTGGGTTGAAAGGTTGCCTGCAGGCCACACATGAGTGGACCTAGAAGGGTAGCTAAAGGCAGGTGACGCTGGAAGGAGACTTCATGTGACGGCTCCCTTGTCATGAGTTCCATATTCCTCATTTCCCAATCATAGGAGTTGGTGCTATCGTGCCCATTTCATTGGTGAGGGAATTGAGGCTCAGAGAGGTCATGAGTCTAGGATCTTATAGCTTGGAGTAGACTGAGACACAGGCCTTGATCTACCAGACCTTTTTGTTCTCTGCCCCCAGTGCTCTAAGTAGTAAGACTGACAACATGGAATGGTCCAATGGGGCCACTGCTAGAAAGATATGCTGGGGTCAGGCCATGAATGCTCTGACACTGGGCTTTGTGATAAAACTGTGAGCTGGGAGAAGTGTAAACAAAGTAAGTCACCGTCTTCCTGGTTCCCAGTTAGTTGTTCCTGAGTGTGGTTGTCCCTGTCTGGGTGTGCACTTATATGGGGTGTGTGTGTAGTGGCATCATGCTGTATATGTATACATACCCTGCTTTTTTCACCAGTACTTGTGACTATTCCCATGCCCCTAGAATCGTGACTTTGGGGGCTGCGTGACTGCACACCATTTCATCACATGCTGCTGTGTCCCTTGTCTGTCCCATCTTAACGTCTGGTTTCTTTTCTGTACAGATCCTGATATGCCTGTTCAGGTAACTCCGGAGATTAAGCCTTACTTGGAAGCCTTGTTTGCCAAGATGTTAGAGATGGGGACGACAGAGGACTTTCGTCTGGTGATGCGGTCTGTTCTCCAAGGATTAGACATCAGGAACACGTGGAAAGCAGAGCCGCAGGTGGGTGGCTGCTCTGCCTCTTGATTGCAGGCCCAGAGATGTTGGCTGAATTGGGAAGACTTGCTGGAGATGCAGTCACCCCTGAGAGTACACTAAACAGAAATTCAAACTGTCAGCAACTAGGCAAGGGGAGAGCCTGTGGAAGGGAGCCCTGCCCTGGGGGACAGTCTGGCTCTCTGTGTGAGGAGCCTTGTTTTGCAGAGGGGAACTTCCTCGTATTCCTGATGTGTGCTCTTATTACATGTGCAATACTAAGGAGTACTATCCAAAATGCTGACAGGTGAGGTACATTTTGCCCATCCTTTACTTAAGATCTTTCCTGCTGTACTTTTTGAAAAAGAAATTTTTAGATTTGTATTATTAGAGTGAGCTCTCTTGCTTGCATTTGCTGTTCATTTCTCCCAAAAGCCCACAACAAATGGAGCTGGGCAAGGCTGAAGCCAGAAGTCACCAACTCAGTTCAAGTGTCCCATGGGGATGGTGGATGCCCAGTTGCCTGAGCAGGAATCTGGAACTGGAAGTGGCACCAGGACTCAAACCCAGCCGCTCTGCTGTGGCACACAAACATCCCTCCACCCAGCATTTTAACGGCTCAGCCAGATGTCTGTCCTTGAAAGGTTTTGACTTGATTTGGTTGCACACCTGCATGCCAGCACTTGAGAAGCACTTGGCTTAGCAGCCCACTGAATACACTGCAGTGCCACTGCACAGAGCTCACCTGCTGGGATTCGCTCTTCCAAGTGGCCTGGGCACAGGACTGGCCAGACTTCCCACCCTCGCGTGAAGGAGAAAGCCCCAGAGCCAACGGCTGGCAGGTTCAAGCTTGCTGCCTCGCAAGTGGCTTCTTGAGTCCTCGTCACGAGCAGCACCCTGGGATTGGATTTTGATTTGGGTGGGAGGAGAGCTAGAGAGGGTAATTTCGGAGCTTCCAGAAGTGGGCAGGATGAGTTAGAGGGGACAGCGGGGAGAATTCAGTCTCTGTGTGTAACATTAGAGCCAGAGCATGGTGAGGACCAGCTGCTCCGCACCACCACTCTGCCACCTATGGCAGTTGCCTGTCTCAGGAACTTTTTCTTGTGTACCTCTGCAGCACAATTGAACCCCAGCTCTGGAAGCACTCTGGGCCCCTGCCTTCCCCTCAGCAAGCCAAGGAAAAACAAATTTCTGTTCAGACCAGTTAGTCCAAGGGGACTTCATGGAGGAGGTGTAATTCAATGGAGTGTTGGAGTGGAGAGCACTTGGATGGGGCAGCAGGGTTGGAGCATGGGTAAGTGAGCACAGTGCAGGCAGCATGTAGGTTCCTTGGGAGCCCAAGATATGTGAATATGAGAACAGAGATGGGCATGGGTGGTACAGGCCCTTGGTGCATAGCAGTGCCTCGCAGGTGGGCAGAGGGTAGGAGCAGTGTTGGTCTTGGTGGTCTTTGGGGTGTGGGTGCATGGTCAGAGGCAGGAGAGCAAAGCGGAAAAACCAGTGTTGGGGACTGACACTGTGGTGCTGGCATCCCATATGGGTGCCGGTTTGAGTCCTGGCTGCTCCTCTCCCAGTCCAGCTTTCTGCTATGGTCTGGGGAAGCAGTAGAAGATGACCCAAGTGTTTGGGCCCTGGCACCTGTGTGGGAGAGTTGACAGAAGCTCCTGGTTCCTGGCTTCAAATTGGCCCAGCTCCTGCTGTTGTGGCCATTTAAGGAGTTAACCAGCAGATTGATGACCTCTCTCTCTCTCTGCTTCTGCCTCTGCCTCTCTATGACTCTGCCTTTCAAATAAATAAATAAAAACTTTAAAAAAAAAAAAAAAAGCCTAGCTTGTAGGGCTGTATGGCAGGAGGGGAGGATGAAATGGCTAGCACAAGGCTGGGCCGGGGCAGGCACTTGTTTATGTGGCCCTCTGGCACTCCTGTGCTCTGAACCTTTACCGTGGTCACAGCACCCCATTCAGGTGTTGGCTTTGTGCCATGTTTTCTTGTAGCTGAAAGCCTGTCTGGTTCCTGCTCAGTTAAGATACAGCCAGCGTCCTCAGCGTGGACAGTATCTTGAAAAGACAGTCTCTATAGTTACGTTGTACTTTGTGTCCCTCTTTGAGTTCACTGTCCTGGCCCATTTCCCTGCTGGGTGTAGTGAGGCACCTCTGTTCAGCTTCTTCAGAACTGGCCCGTGCCCCCGACCCCAGGGCTCTCGGGGACGCGGTTGGTCACTTTAGCCCCACAAGAGGCGTCTTCCCCTGTGGCGCTCTCAGAGTTGGCTGGGGTTGCTGCTGAGCTTGTCCCCTTCTGCCGCAGGCTGTGTTGTCAGCTGTCACGTTGCTGGAGCTGCTCCTGACCTGCCCACTCAGTGGAGAGAAGGCGCGGTTGTTGTGGCGGGCGTGTCCCCAGATAGTCACGGCGCTCGCGGTGAGTACGCTCTGTGGGGCACCCTCCGGCTACTCACCACCTCTTCCTGTAAAGTTGCTGTCAGCCTGTGTGTGGGGCCCTGCTGTGCCGATGCTGAGGGGCTGCACCTTGAAGATGGGCACGAGCAGGGTTCTGTGTGCACACACTGGTGTCACAGGAGCTGCTCGGGTAAAAGAAATGTGGCAACAAGGTGGGGCCTCCCTGGAGGCCTGTTGGAGCTGTCTTTGCACTCAGGAAATCTTGTGGTCAGTGTATTTGTGGGAGTGTGCATGTGGGTGTCTCAGGCAAATAGTATGTTAGGTAGAGACACTTTCTAGAATGGGACGGTGATGTTGCAAACAGCAGGGTGTTGATAGAATCTTACCCGAGTGTTAACTTTCACGTTTTCAGTAGTCACTCAGCTTTTGGTATCACAGGGACAAAAGCCTGGTTCACACTGAGACTGTCTCAGTGCTTCTGCCTGCCAGTGAGGCTGGCCTGAGGAGTCACAGCTGGCCAGCGCAGCAGGCTGTTTCACTGTCTGCCTCGGCCCCGACTCCAGCCTTTGCTGTCAGACAGAACCCTAGAGTAGCATGCTTCCAGGACCAAAGGGTCTCATGAAGAGACTTGCTGTCATCTCCCATCTTCACTTTTGCGGCTGTGTCGTTTCCCTGAGAACAGTCAGTAGTGGCTAAAGCAATTATTGCCACCTGGTGTGAACAGTGAGCGGCAGGAAGAGCGCTTGGGCTGAGTGGGGAGGAGGCATGCACGTGCGTGGTCACAGCATGGATTGTGGGCATGGCAGACCTGCAGAATCCCCTCAGCTACATCTGAAGGCTGGAACACGCAGTCCGCACAGCCACAACACCCAGCATTATGAGTGACAGGGCCTAGAAGGCCTCAGCAGGCTGCTCAGTGTCTGAGCAGGGGAGTCACAGGGAGCACTCCAGGTTACGTAGGTAAGACATTGAGCTACACCACATCTTGAGTCTGTTCCCCTTATTTTATAGCAGTAACTGCTCATCTTTAGAGCAGATTGGTAAGAAATTTAACAAACCATACTTAACCATAGTCAAGTAGAACTAATGGTCTTTGTTGGAAAAATAACTTGTCTACTGTTTTTTTTTCTTGTGAACAATTGGATGAACCAGCTTCTTTACAAGAAATGGCTTGTCTTCACAGTAGGTGAATCTATCAAAAAAGTGCAGGCTGAAATGGCTGTGGCCATCAGGTCACCCAGGGGGCTTGAATGTTGGTCTCCTTGTCTCTTCAGACTGTCCACTGTACGCATCAACTCATTCTGGAGCTTGGACATTCTTACCTCTGCTACTTGGTACTTCCATTTTTGTGTGTTTGCTTTGGAGAGTCACTTTCCTTTTTTTTCCTTTATCCCATCTTGCCCTGTAGCTGCAAAACCGCGAGGCTTGTCAGGAGCAACCTGTGCGTCTGACAGTGGTGGGGCCTATTTTAGACGTCCTGGCTGCTCTGCTACGGCAGGGGGAGGAGGCCATCAGCAACCCCCACCACGTCAGCCTGGCCTTCAGCATCCTGCTGACAGTGCCTTTGGACCACCTGAAGCCACCGGACTATGGAAGCACCTTCCTGAAGTTGCATAACGTGCTCTTCTCAATCCTGCAGTGTCACCCAAAGGTGAGAGGAAGGGAACACACACCAGGCAGTGTTTCCTTTGTGAGCGGGGTGATTTCAGCTTCCAGAAAAGCAGCAGGGAAACTGTTGCCGGACAACAGAAAAATTGATGTGCTGAGCAAACTTTGTTGTTCCGGTGATTTTCAGGGCCAGGGTGGTTTCTCCAGCACAAAACTGCTTGAACTTCATACTGGGCTAATTGAGTGAGTTTATCTTTGTTGGATCTGACACTTTGCATTGTGTTTGCTTACCATTCTTTAAGGAACCTTATTAGACATTGCTGTCTGTGCAGATCATGTATTTGACCACTCACTTGCTCAGATCCCTTGTTGGGTTTGTAACTCAAATATGTGTGTGGAGTGAAGCACCCTAGGTTCCAGTTGTATAGGATTCTGCCTTTCAAGTTCAACTGAAACGAGCAATAAATGTTCCATGGCAGAGCTTGGATTGGAATTCAGCTATTATTTTTGAGAATCACCCCTTTAGCAAGACTGAAGGAAGTAGTAATACTGGTTTACTAAAGAAGATGAAATTCGTTATTGCTACGTGATTTGACCAATGTCACTTTAACCGAATCTAAATCTTAGACTGAAGATTGTCAGTGCCTTACCAGTGTTCTTATGGTACTGCCGCTATGCATGCAGCTGACAAGATAGAACTCAGAAACGTGACTTACATAGACATGTGCACGTGTAGGTAATTTGAAGTGTTGTGATGTTTTATGGATAGAGTCCTGCCAGCAATGCAGTTTTTAAGAAAAATAATCTCTTACAAACCAAACATTCATGAAATTGGACCTATTCCAAAGCTTTTCCCAGCTAACAGTTGCCTTTGGCCCTGTCTATCTAGTCGGCTTCTTTTTTTTAATTAAATCTCTCTGCTGATTGTTAGATTTTTATGTGCTTGTGTAATATAAATGTGATGCAAATCAGTTACTAGCTGAAACTGTTGATCTTGCAAAGGATGCAAGATTTTATAAGGATGATCAAGGTAAAATTGAAAAGCTGGTTAACTCTGCTGCAAAACTGTTCACCAAATGACCATCTAATGGAATTAGATCATTTAATAAATGGAAAAAATTGACAAGAATAATGCCTTGGTATTACAATAAAGAATAACATGACTAATCATTGTTGCTCACATGCATCTATTTCATGTACAGTTCAGTGAGGGAAGCTGGTGTGCAATCACAACGTTGACAGTATGCATAGTAGGTCTGTGTTGATATAAATACCCAGCTAGGATCCTCCTAGGTACTTCTAAAGGGTGTAACAAGAAGTTAGCACAGTCACAATACCCAGCAGAAAGATCAGCAGCTGATGCCATTCTAAGCATTTTTTAAATCATTTAGTCCTTGTGACAACCTGTTATTGTCATCATTTTGTAGATGAGGAAGCTGAGGCACACACACACACACACATTACACAAGCACAGCCAGAAATTTTGTTCAGGATCACATAAGGAGCCAGGGTGTGAACCCAGATACTCTGACCCAGATTTGTGTGTTTTTCATCAATAGGATAACAGTGGATTGAGAGAGGTCTGTGGACAGCATAAACTCTGGAATACTTTTGCAAAAATGATCTTTCTGAGCATGCTACAAAAAGTCAATAATTTGACTTGAAAGATACAGTGTTACATTCTCAAGAATTTTGCTGATTACATTTTACAAAAGAGAATAATCTCAGCACTTGATTTTCTGTTTGATCATTCCGAAGATTGGAATAACACTGCCTCATAGGGTATTCACTGGTGATGGACATGGCCCATCTGGTGACCACTGGCTGCCACTTCAGGTGTCTCCACTATTTGAAATGTGGCCAGTATAACTAGGAACTGAATATAAATAAAGGTAGTCCCATGGGATTCATGGTTCTCTATTGGACAATGTGTAGTTGTGATCCTGATCTAAGGATGGTTGAGTATAGAAGAAGTATGCCTTGTCTTCTTAGTGTTATTTTTCAAGGTTAAGTTAAGAGCAGAACTGTTCATTATTAATTGAGAATTTTTGGTCCCCATTTTAAGTGAATTTGCTGTGTGTAGTCTTTTTTTTCTGGTACCAATTATATTTAAATAACTTGGTCACCATTTTTCCTTTTATTATTTATTTCAACCCACTTCTAGAATGGATTAGAACCAGCTAAGAGCAAAAGGCACAGAATCAAGAAGTTCTAAACCAGAATTACTAAAGGCCTAAAACGGCACACACAGCCATTTTGAGCATGCAGATAGGTAAAGCTAAGGAAACGAGTATAAGCTCCTTTGAAGTAGAAAAACTTGATCACTTACACACCTCTGTGTTGTGTTGTCTGTCATTACAGGTGATGCTGAAAGCCATCCCTTCTTTCTTGAACTCTTTTAATAGGCTGGTGTTCTCAGTTATGCATGAAGGGCGACAGAAAGACAAAGGTAATTCAGAGTAGCAGTGTCAGATGCACAATTTTAAATATATTTACATGGGATGTCTTCTCAGCACATATGTTATTGAAAATGAAACTGAGTTTAAATGTTCAGATCGTTACATGAAGATTTAAAATAATTTTTTAAAAATTTTCAAGCTATCACAGTTTACAGTATCCAAAACATTGGATGCTGGCCGGTGTTGCAGCTCACTAGGCTAATCCTCCGCCTGCGGCGCCAGCACATCGGGTTCTAGTCCCGGTCGGGGCGCTGGATTCTGTCCCGGTTGCCCCTTTTCCAGGCCAGCTCTCTGCTGTGGCCCGGGAGTGCAGTGGAGGATGGCCCAAGTCCTTGGGCCCTGCACCCCATGGGAGACCAGGAGAAGCACCTGGCTCCTGGCTTCGGATCAGCGCGGTGCACCGGCCGCAGTGGCCATTGGAGGGTGAACCAACGGCAAAAAGGAAGACCTTTCTCTCTGTCTCTCACTATCCACTCTGCCTGTCAAAACAAAAAAACAAAACAAAACAAAACAACAACATTGGATGCGTCTGGCATCCCCTAACTGAAATATAACTTTTTCTGGGAACAAAATATCTAGATTTAGGAAGTATTTATTGAGCATGTATGTTATAAAAATGGCTACGATGCTGTTTCTGCCCTTAAGGAGTTTATAGTTTAACAATAAAACAAAAAGGAACAGGTGAGTATAGAGCTTTTTTATTTTATAAAAAGGATGAATTCCCACACCTCACCATTCCAGCCAGATCTTGGTCAGGTTGTGTTTGTTTACCATGAAAAGCAAACTGCCATATGGCAATGGCATGTATTATGTGTAAAATTCACCTTTAAGCTTTCAATTATGTTGATTCTTGATGAATTTCTAATTTTCAAGAGGTCCTCGTTATTTTAAAATAATAAATGGAGACATTGTATTTTATATTGCACTTACCGTGAAATGACATAGCTTGTTCCAGCCCCACACCATGCAGTGTGCTAATGATTAGTGCCGGGACAGGCGTCTCATAGGATGCTCTGGGGCCACCGAAGAGATTTATGACTCCCTTGAGGATGTCAAGAAGCCTCTGAGACAGTGATTCTGGGCTGATGAGAGATCTATGTGTGGTGCTCAACTTCTCCCCTGCCAATGTAGATTTTTTTGATTATTTATCTGAAAGGTGGAGTTACAGAGGCAGAAAGAGAGGGGTCTTCCATCTGCTGGTTCACTCCCGAAATGACTACAATGGCCAGAGCTGGGCTGATCCGAAGCCAGGAACTGCTTCCGGGTCTCAGGAACAAGAAGTGGTACAGGGGCCTAAGGACTTGGACCATTTTCTGCTGCTTTCCCAGGCCATAGCAGAGAGGTGGATGGGACATGGAGCAGCCAGGACTCACAACTGGCCCCCAAATGGGATGCCAGCACTGCAGGTGGCAGATTTACCCACTATGCTACAGTGCTGACCCCACCAGTGTAGTTTTGAGTAAAGAAAAACGGCCTAGTTCATTATGAAATTATCCTGCTGGGACATGGGATCGGGGAGTGGCACAATTAGGTCTTTTCTCTTTCTCCCATGCTTGGTGCAGAGCATGTGTCAGCTCAACACTGTGAATCTAGGGACTTGATTGGGGAGCAAGTTCCATCTCCCGCATCAACCTCAGCTGGTTGGTGGTGACTGTGTGTGATTGTGTTAAGGCCTTCAAGGTCATGTCAGAGCTCAGCAGGGAAGAGTCCCTGTTTGATAGTGATGTCTGCCTGGACAGGAAATGGGCAGCCCAGCCTAGGCCTTGCTGAGCATTGGTGTCCTTTGTCAAGCCTCTGGGGAAGCACAGGAGCACGTGCCCTGTCCAGGGCTCTGTGCTGCATAGTGAGGCGTATTAGTAAAGTATGTTTCCTGTGAAACTGCCTCATGAATACCAACAATTTACATAATTTCATGAAAACACATTGACTTGGAAAACTTTTATATGCTTATTATATGAAAAATGTATGCTTATTCAGGGTCTTAAATGGTATTGACAGTCTCAAAACTGACTTTATTGAGGTATGATATATGTGTAATAAATTACATCTGTTTAAAGTGTGTGATTCAGTGAATTTCAGCAGTGAAGCACATGTATGAAGCCATGACCAAAGTCAAAATAGAAAACATTTCCATGAACCCCAGAAAGACTGTGTTGTCTCTTCTGGGTGCATTCCCACCTCTGACCCTAGCCCCAGCCATGGCTGCTCTGCTTTTTGTTGCTGGGGACTAATCCACATTTTCTAGGTTTTTATCAAACCTGGGCTGCTAATATGCCCAAAGAAACAGGGAAGGTGCTCTGGCCTGTGCTGAAACTCCCCCACCAGCTCTAACTTGGGCCATGGGGACAAGTTAGGCTATAAGAGTTCTTGGGAGCAGTTTGCCGAGAGGGTCTGGGTAGTCTTGTCACCATCTGGGGAGAAGAGGTTGGCATCAGAATGAAAACCGAAGAGGAAGAAGGGAGCTAGTAATGATTGGGTCTTGCTTGTATCTGCCCATGAAAGGAAAGTCCTACGCAAACACTTCCTGAAACTTTAGAAGGTAGAGACATAATCAGGACGTCTTATCTTTCAAATCATGTGATGTCAGTAAACCATTGTTTTCTATAAGATGGCTTTCCATCTTCAGTCTTCCTTATAGAAATCCATCTTCTTTTAAAATACAACAGTAATCTTGGAATTCATTCCTAAAAATCTTGATTATTGTAGTTAGACCTTACACTTAGGGCTTGTTGTGTACTTTAAGTGTTCTTCCCTTTGTTATGTAGATAAATATTTGCATGTGTCTTTTCTTCTTTATACTGTCTGGAAAATAAGCCAATTAGAGAGTACAAAAAAAAAATTGGAGGGCTTGAGATCATTTCTGTGTATATGAAAAGTCTAAAATTGAAAGCGTGAATGTGTACTGTTTCTGAGCTGATTGGTTGGGAAATGCCTTGCTGTCTGCAGGAAGCACAGAGGACCTGCCTGTGGTGCTGGAGTGTGCGCGCCTGGTAGAACGGATGTACAGCCACATCGCTGCTCGAGCTGAAGAGGTCGCTGTGTTTTCCCCTTTTATGGTGGCCCAGTACATGACAGAGGTGCAGAAGGTAACCAAGTGCTTTCCTCTTCAGTCCTTAAGCAGAGCTTCATGTGTAGAATGGCAAGTGATACTCTGGGCTGCTCGTTCTCAGTTGTGAAGGGCCGTGGCACCCCTGCAAGGCTGTTTATTGTAAGGACTGAATGAAGTGACACACAGTGGCCTCAGCAGTGCCTGGGAGCTGGAAGGTGCTTAGTAATCATCAGTTCTTGCTCTAGCACAAGCCTCGGCATTGGTAGTGCTGACTCTTGTGTGATGTTATAGCGGGATGAAGACCCAAGAGCAGGAGCTCTCTCTCATAGGACCAGACTCAACAGAGACTGCAGAGAGAGTTCTAGGCCTAAGGTCCAGGGTTCCCCTCAGTAGCAGGAGACCAGGGATCTGTATCCTGGGGTCTGTCACTCGGGAGACTCAGCTGCTCTGAGGCCCCCAAAGGAGGTAGGAAGGTGTAGATGCAGGTGTATTTGTGTAGGTAAGGAAAAATACTTTAGTCAAAATTAATATTTTTGACTCAGTGTTCAAAGTAATGAATGCATTTTGCAATTGGTATCTCACTTTGGAATGTCAGTGTGCTCTTTTTCAAAATTCCCTGAGACCCTGTGTGACCCAAGGTAAGTTCACCGTTGGACTTTGTAAATTTAGGATATATAAATTTATTTTTTATAGTCAAATGTCACAAGCTGAAGCAAAATACAGTGTATTTGTGTTTCATCTACTTGTGTGTGTATACATTACACATTATATTATTTTCTCTCTATATAAAATGATGAGCTGTCCCTACTTTGTCAATCTTAGATCATGAGTAAGATCACCTGTCAGCTTGTTAGGGTGGAAAAGTCACTGTTTCTCAAGGGAGGTTAGGCTGAATGGACTTTCCTCTCCACTCCCAGTTCTGGGGGGTCTGTAACTGCTACATAACTTCCCACCCCACTGCCCTGCTCATCCAGGGTGTCAGATACCCAGGTCACCCACCCCATAAGTGCTCAGCCGCATCCAGTGGTGTGCCTGCAAGAGCCACTGCCCAGGAGAAGACCTTTGCAAATGGTCCTTCTGTGAGGTATGGGCTTGTGGTTGGCTTTCTTTGCAATTATTTGGCATTTTTATGGAATCCTCCTGTTTCCAAAGCACTCACATCATTAATATGTAAGTTTTTGATGAAAGAAAAACTGGCATTATTTTCTATTTTAATGAAGAACAAGACGAGACAAAGTAGTGTCACTTCACCAAGGGCCACCAAGAGAAGCAAACAGCGAGGGGTTGTGGGAAGGATTCTGTGTGGCCCTGGGGAAGTCATAGAGCCTCTTTTTTTCGCCTTTGGAAGTAGAATCATTTGCTTACCAGTGATGATTAAACAAATGTGCGAGTAGTCCACTTACATAGCACTCCGTCTGTTAGTACGCTCCAGGACTCCTGTGTTTTTGTTTGTTCATTTTATTTTGCTTCCCTCCCATTGCCTTGCTGTGAAACCACAGACAAGCCATTCTGCCTTCAATCCTTGAAGGCTCTCGTCATTTTTACAGTGGTAAAATTTAAGGCGATCACCTGTCAAAAATGTTTGTTTGAACTGTCATATGAAAAGGACTAGAACTTTGAAGAATAGTGTCATCTTGATGTTATCTTAATGACAGAAATGAATTGCCTGTTTGGGAACGTGCTTCCCAACAGTTGCCATTGTGAGTCAGAGTTCTCCTGGTTAATAAAACATGTCCTTGTCAGAGGCTTTGTGTTTGCAGAGCAGTGACTCTTTTCAAGTCATCCAGATTCATAAGGAATCTACCAGATCCCAGGCATGCCGGGATTTCCTACTATTTATAATTATTTTGACAAAGTCAGTATAACATGAATTTTACCCTCCTAACCATTTTTCAGAGTACAGCTCCATGGTGTTAAATACACTTGTAATGTTAGGTAGTTGTCACCACTATCCATCCTCCAAGCCCATCAGTCCTACTTCTTTTTGGTTCCAGCTCCTGAAGCATTCAAGCTGAAACCCAGAGAGATATGAATATGAGCAGAGGCAGCACTCTTGACCTTTTTGGTTAGGTGATACCTGAGTATCTACCACGGCTGGCTGAAGCATCAGGTGTAGCGAAGCTGGAACTGGCCTGCCACTCCTGCTGCCGAGCCCAGATTTAGTTACCCCAGAACTGCAGGGAAGACGTGCATCCTTCAGCACAGGGTCCACATCAGCCACCCTGGGGCAGCTAGAGACTTAGGTCATGCTGAGCTGTTGCTGACAGGAGAATATCCATTAAGGGGTGCTTGTGCATCCCTTCTGCAGCTGATCCAAAAAGCCTACTGATGATCTGTTTAGGTAGCATTAGAGCCTGCCTTTCCCACCAGGCTCTGGGAAGATGTGTGTCAGAGTCTCATTGTGAATGGTGATTGACAGTATAGAAGAATATGACACAATATGCAAGTAGCTGTGATTGTAAGAGCTTTAAATTTTTTTTTTTTTGAGATTTATTTTATTTATTTGAAAGGCAGAGTTACAGATTACAGTTTTTTAAGTGCCCGGCTAAACATGGATGCATGATTTACTAACTAGCAAAGCTACCTCTGCAACTTTGTGAGATTTAGTCCAGGCTTTTTTCACTTGGCTTAGCTTCTGTTTCCTCAAAAGAGAAACCTTGTAAGTATGAGTACTCAATTATTTGAGTTTTCTGCTAATTTATGCTTGAAAAGCCAGATCTTTTCTGCACTTGGAGGCACAAATTGAGATTATGTGAGTCCTGAGGATATGGTTGGCAGGTTGTGCTGCTTGCTTTGCGTCCCCAGTTTGTCCTCATGCAGGTCTGCCTTCCCAGGTGACCTTGTATCCAGCCGTGAAAGGCCTGCTGCAGGAGGGTATTTACCTCATCCTGGACCTCTGCAGTGAGCATGACATCCTGTTCCTGCGGGCCTCGCTGCAGCCAGGAGTCCGAGACGTCTTCAAGGAGCTGCACAACGACTACATCAAGTACCACAAGACTAAGCTCAAAGGAGAGAAGAGATACACCGTCTGAGGCTCTGCTGTGGGAGCGCAGCCAGTGACTGCACAGGGGCCTGCCTCGCGCTCTGAAGAACTGAAGATAGAAAAACTAGATAATCTAATATGCAGTGTTGCTGTACATGGAGAATCTTTTAGGGTTTGTGCAGTATATTTTTATGCTGTATCTTTTTAGGGTGTTTTGTTTTGTTTTGTTTTGTTTTGGAGAGAGAGAGAGTGAGAGAGCTGTCATCTGCTGGGTCACTCTCCAGATGTCTGCAAAAGCTGGGAACTGAAAACTCAGTTCAGATCTCCGTGGTTGGTAGGAACCCAGCCACTTGAGCTATTAGCACTGCCTCCCAGGGGCTGCATTACAGGAAGCTGGAGTTAGGAACAGAACAAGGCATTGCACCCCAGCGCTCTGATAGGGGACACCAGCACCTTAACTGCTAGGCCAAATGCCGACACGGACTGTTTTTTAAAATGTCTTTTTCTGCAGAAAGAATCCTAAAAGGAGATAAACTCAACAGAGGAATGATCACCTCCCATGACCTCTCCATGTGTGGTTCTTTTCAGTGGTTTACTGTCTCCCCTCCCCGCTAGAAACTTTGGGTAACTTGATATTTTTACTTGAGGTACAAGATATTTAATTACAACCTATTTAAATGGGAAGTTTTCTGGAAATGCCACTTCGTGCTCTCCATCTGAGTCTACCTTCGGCTGGAGCTGAGGAAATTGAGAGACCGGGATCTGTACAGCCAGTGTGCCTGCTGGATGGGACTGAGCATCTTTCAGCAAAGGCGCAAGGGCTCCTGGCCCGCTCTTCTTGCTTCTGTTCTCTGAAGTTCATTTTAGAGTTTTTTTATTACACTGAATAGCAGGGAAAAAAATCTTATTTTTATTACCTAATATGTTTTCAATATGGCAATCTCAGAAAATAAAAATAAAAGGGAAAATAAAAACTTAATATTAATCTATTTTCCTATTAGTGAATCAACTTTAGTATTATTGCTTTTTCTAAAAAATTTATTTATTTATTTGAAAGACATAGTGTTCCCACTCTCTGGTTTACTCCCTAAAAATGCCCACAACGGTTGTGGCTGGACGGGAGCCAAAGCCAGGAGTGGGGAACACAATCCAGGTGTTCTGTGTGGGTGGCAGAGACCCAATTACTTGAGCTGTCATATCCTGCATTAGTGGGTCTGCATTAGCAGGAAGTTAGAATCAGGCATTGATAGAGATGTAGGCATTTTACTGCTCGGCTAATTTCCCACACCTGAGTTTTGTTTGTTTTAGGCCTATGTGATAACACAGATAAGTTATTTTGTTTAGATTTAATCACTAAAAGATTATATACTTTGTGTAATTGTTTCTCAGTTGAGGATTTTCCATTTCCCTTATTTGCTATCTTTGTGAAATTCTTAGAATTCTCCTGGTACCCCATTTTAGTTCCTCAGAAGGTAGACTTTTTAAATTATTTAAAGCATCATCCTTAAGGTAAGCCTTTTTATTTTATTTTATTTTTAAAGATTTTATGTATTTATTTGAGAGGTAGAGTTATAATGAGAGGGAGAGACAGAGAGAAAGTTCTTCCATTGGTTCACTCCCCAGATGGCCACAACAGCCGGAGCTGTGCCTATCCCGAGCCAGGAGCCAGGAGCTTCTTCTGGGTCTCCCATGCAGGTGCAGGGACCCAAGCATCTTCTACTGCTTTCCCAGGCCATAGTAGAGAGCTGGATTGAAAGAGGAGCAGCCGTGACTAGAACCGGTGCCCATATGGGATGCCGGCGTTGCAGGCGGAGGATTAACCTACTGCGCCACAGTACTGGCCCCTTATTTTATTTTTTTAAAGATGTATTTATTTGAAAGAGCAGCAAGAAAGGGAGAGACAGAGAGATGTTCCATCCACTGGTTCACTCCTTCAAGTGTTTGCAACTGCCAGGACTAGGCTAGGCCAGACCAAAGCCAAGAGCCAGGAACTCCATCCTGATCTCCCACATGGGTGCCAAGGGCCCAATTATTTGGGCCATCTTCTGCTGCCTTCCCGTGCATCATCAGGGAACTGGATCAGAAGCAGAGGCCAGGACTCAAACCAGCACTTTGATATGGGCTTGTGGTGTAAGCGCTGCTAATGGATTCAGGTGGTTGTCATCCATTGGCTTAATGCTCTGCATTAACAGAGTTTTGTTTGCTAAGTTATCTGCAGGAGCCTCTGAGGGAGGCCGGGGACATTTCTCTTGTACACCTGGAGTTTGGAGTGAGCAGGTGACCTTTCAAGGACATGAGCTCCAAACAAAATGGGAGTTTAAGCCAGGAGCCAAAACCGAGTTCTTGGGTGTGCCCTTGGGGTCCAGTGCTCAGACAGGAGAGTCACTGTGTGGGAACCCCTCATGGAGTCGTGCCTAGGGTTTTCTCCTGGAGGTTCACCAAGACCAGACATTACCAACAACCTGTTTTCACTCTGCTTTGGGAGTGTTGGGTGCTGACAGCCATGGAGCGGTTCTTCAGGTTTCCTGATGGTGGCACTGCAGGGCCTTGAAAGGGTGCTCTGAGATGTGGAAATGACGGACTCAGCCACGGAAAAGGGGAGGGAGAAAAGAAGGCGGAGACTCCATGTCCTCCCCACGCAGTGCTCAAGTGGGATCCCTGCAGTGTTCCCCTTCCCGAAGAGGTGCTCATCAGTTCTGCACAACCCTTTCAATTTGGACTTCAAGCTTTCTCTGGAAAGCAATGTTTCCAGCTCTGTTTGCTGATTCTTAGAGAAGAAGAAACATTTTTCTTGGTAGTAATAATGGAGGCTGTGTTGTCCTCACTCTTATTTTTTTAGAATAGACCTCATGGTGAAAACAGTCAACCTGGGCCAGCCCACCGCGTGGCAGAGTTGGGGGATGGGGAGCACAGCAGAAGCCTGGGCTTCAGAGAACCGTCCCTGGCAGAACTGCCACGGTTCCAGACTTCTCCTCATCCAACTGTTGTGCATTGGTCATCTCAGCTTTATCCAGGCATAGGGGACACAGCCCTGGGCTTCAAGGAGCTTGTTTTCTACCAGGGCACATTAGCAACGAGCTGGTAAACAAATGGGCATGATCATGCCATAGGCTGGTTGCTGGGCTGGGGGCAAGGTGGTGCTCGAGCCAAGACCCACCTGGATGGACAGGAACTGGACCCTGGGGGGGTCAAGGCTGCTAGTCCTTATCGCCTACACCCAGTGCCCTTGCCAGCCTACTTTGGGCTGGGAGTGGACAACTTGAAATGAGGGGAGTTGTAGAAGATAAGGCTCAGGGTGTCTTAGTGTGCCAGGTGCCTCTGAGAGGGACACAGGTAGCAAACTGCCCTGTGCCTGACCTTTTCCTTGCCCGCTCCCTGTGGACCGCAGTGGACGGTCCCCTGCACAGGCTGTCCTCTGCAGCTCCCCACATTCAGCCTCGCCGTGGGCCTGCACCTCCCTTCTCACCATACCCTCCCTGTTTCTTAACTGAACACTACCCAGGGCTGAGGAGGAGCATGCAAGAGAGCATGTGGTACCTGGAAGGGATCTGAGTGGAGTCTGCAGTTTTTCCTGGTTTCTCATTTTGAACTTTAAAATCGGGGATTCCTTTGATTTATTGCTGGCATACCAGGCTATAGCCCAGTCTCCTTTTGTCTCGTAAGTTCACATTTCTGCTTTGGGTCTCATAAAAGCAACAGTAGAGGCAGCAGCTCTGTTTTTGTTTTTTAATTTCTGGTTCCCTTGTGCATCTTCTGATCACTCTTTCTCATCTTCATTCCCCATTCCGTCATTTCCCCTTTCCAGCCCTTCCTTTATTCTGCAGCCTGCCTCTCCAGTGAACGCTAACTTCTGTCTCACTGGGCCAGCTTGTCCCTGCGTTGTCCCCGTGCCATCCTGCGTCCTTCCTTTAATCACCATCTCCCCCCCTTCCCTAGCTGCGTCTGGGCTCCAGCTCCTAGCCACTCCTGCTTGCTGATGACGTCACTCCTGACCCAGTCTCCCCACTTCTTTCCAGCTGGCCCTCGTAGCCCGTGGGCATCTTGAGGACCCTGCTGACACATGCTGAGGGTCACCACCTCTGCTCCGCCATCAGCCAGTGACACGACGCCTTGCACTTGAGCCTCCTTATTTGAGTCTTCACAGCTTTCTGCACCAAGGATCCTGTTCCTGATGCCCCACCTCTGGTCTGCCCCGTTGCCCTTCCATCTCCTGTGCCTTCCCTAGCATCCCAGTGCCTCCCTCCCATGGCTGTTCACAGTGTCAAGATCTGGATCCGTCTTGTAAATGCACCTGGTGCGAGAGAGAAAGGAGTTCCATTACCAAGGAGGACATAAGGGATGGAACTTGGTAGAAATGTCATGGCCCAGGCCTTACCAGCAGCAGGACCAGACTTACTGAATGTGAACTTGTGATGGCATCTGGTATAAGAAAATGCCTTCGGAGCAATGTGGCCCCTGATGGGAAAATTCTAGTGGTGAATGCCTGGCCTGATGCCACAGTGAAAGAGGCAGCCAGAGCACACCTAAACATGCAGACAGGCACTGCCGTGCCATATGGTTGTCTTGAAGGGTGTGGTAGATCAGTTGTACCCACTGTGGCCATCTCAAAGACAGACTGATTGACCTTGTGTGAATAGATAGCGATGTCCGTGACAACCATTGTTAGGTATTCTCTGACTTGGCTTGCAGCCTGCACTGGCCTTTTCTCTAAGCTCCTTTTGAGCTTTTATCACAGATTCAATCAGTCAAACAAGCTCTTTTCCAATCAAATCCTATCCCTCTGTCTCTGCTACCACTCTCTTCTTTTTACAGACACACAGACAACACCCTTAATGTACAAGAGTGAGTGCTGATTTTGCTGTCCCCCACATCTCCCACTTGCCTCTTCTTGACCACCAACCAGAGCCAAGGCGGCGTCTCTCTTTGCTGTTTGCACATTGCCACCACTCTGTCCCTGGGTTATCATCTCTGACAAAACTGCTCAGTGAAGCACAATCAGACCCTTGTTGACCTGGCTGTTTCTGGCTGCTTGGTAGTCCATGGCCATCTCAGACTCCCTGTGCTGCTTGGGCCTGCCACAAGCTTTCCCATCTCCTGTCTGGGTCCTGGTGTCTCCACCCTTCTTTCTCACCTTCCACTGGCCCCTTCTGTCACGTTCCGCTAAGATGCTGGTGTCCCTGAAGGTCAGTCCTTGACATTCTCAGTCTTTTCCCTCCACCTCTTCTACCTCCTGGGGGTCACTAATCACCTCTCAAAACACAACTTCTGCTCATTGAATCGCCTCTGAAAACCTGGAGGTCATAACTGACTCCTGGTGTTGTCTGTCCTTCCCTGCCAGCTCGCATCCTTACTGCCTGTGGTCTTCCATCCCCTGTACTGATTGGACTGCCATCTTCCTTCCTGACCTCTAGGGCTCTCCCTTCCCTGGAGGCCCTGTGACTGACTGCACCTGTGTGCCACCTTTGTAGCTGTCCCGTCCACTGCATCTGCTCAGCAGGGACACTCCCCCAATCCAACTTCCTTTCCAGCGGGGCCACAGCCCCATGCTGCCTTTCCCTCT